GGGGGGGGGAGGGGCAATGTACCATTTTCCCACCAAATCCACAGGAATCCTGCATGAAATATTTTAAAATGAGAAATGGTACATTGTCCCCCTATAATCAAGGTCTGGCTATGCTCCTCATGGGGTTCATAGTCCCTTCCCGTCTATAGTCCCCCCTCCCTGCATTTCCTGAAAGATCATGATTATTCAAAATGCCTGGAATAAGGAATACAGATGAAGAAGATGAACTCAATCTGATATCAGAACTAAGATGATAGCTACGTGGTCACAGTCACAAGTAATTATTTTGTAGCTCAACGTTGAATGGACAGGTTCCTACTCTAGACGGACATTGTCCAATAACAAGCCATCATTTTCAGCCCTGAATATTAAAGACCCATTGCCACTTACCGTGATGCACCGCGGTCACAGATGAATTTCGTGGTCCATGAAATTCAAAGATTCATATATTGAATAATAACTTCATATTAATTCCTTTTCCGACATAGCACTAAGACACATTAATCATTCTTTTACATTCTTTTAAGAGTTTATTCAAAAGGTTAGAATTGTTTCTTCAGTGGTGACACAATTCAAAATGTTAACAAATTGTGATGCATCACAGTAAGTGGCAATGGGTTATTAAGATTTGCAAGTGTACATTCAAATACAACATGAAATATACGTAGTAAAAAGTCATACCCATCATGTGCTCGTCAATAACAATGTCAAAATCCTCATCCACATCGGCATCCTGTTTGATGGATAAATAACAAGTGTTATTAAATGGACTACTACTATAAATATTTATTACTGGATCAAGAAATCAAAGCCATAACCCTAGACGAGGTGGAATTAAAAAAATGTACTGATACTATGCCTCAATAAAGACAACGAACTTTAATAGTCCCCTTCACAGTTCCGAGCGCCATCTCGAAAGGTAGCCCTGCCTTTGCATTGAAGCGAGAAGAAACGGTGAGCTTGCAATGATAGAGACATGCAAATAATTGTCTAAGGTGTTAAAAAAGGTCTCTATCATTGCAAGCTCACCGTTCGCCGAGGATTTGATTTGAGTGCGAGTGCAAGAGGCCAGTTTATGTACCACTATGCTGGCCACAGTGCCCTATTTTTCCCAACAAAAATATTGACTTACGAAAACTGCATTCCTTGACAAACTGAAAACTCCATCGTCAGATGTAGCCTCTCCTATTGTTTGTACCACCCTGTGGAGTAAGTCAGTACCTTCAACCTCCATTTGCTCCAGGTCAGGACTGTCATATCCAGTGTTTGTGGGGGCAGAACTACTTCTTGGAATGCTACCCATGGAGGATGGGGAATCACCAGAAGTGTGGGAAGAGCTGCGGTGTCTCATTTCAAACGGTTCAGCTTCTTCTTGGGTCTTATTGCTCCATTCAAGCACCCATTCTCTACTTGATCGTTTGTCTTGAGGGAGTATGCTCTCATTGTTCAGCTGCGGTGCTTCACAAGAGCGGAGGTCCTTATGGCAGAATTAAATAAAAATGTCAGTCAAAATACATTTATTAAGTTAACACATTATTGGCATGATGAAACCCAATAGACCTCTTTGGTTGGGGGTAATGTTTTCCCATTTCAGACCATGTGTCATTCCCTAGAGAATAAGATTCTTTGTTTGAACTGTATCCATATTCATGTTCTCATATTCTCATGTGCAGCCATTAACAAAGAAATAATACTCTAGGGAATGGCATGTGGTCTGAAATGGGAAGACATTACGTCAGAGCCGAAGAGGTCTATTGACCTAATTCYTCTTGGTGCAATGTTTACCCATTTCATACCATTATGCCATTCTCTTGACAATAAGATTCTTTGTTTGAGTTATATCCATATTAATGTGTCTTCTAGTGTGCAACCGCGAAACAAAGAAATGATACTCTAGGGAATTGCACATGGTTTATAATGGGAACATTGGGCCAAGACGAATTAGGCCTAATGGGTTAGTTGTGAAGACCAGTAGGAAGAAGAGGATAGCTCAGTATTCTGGAATAAAAAGACAATTTTTTTCCTACTAGTAGTACACAAATATTTGCAGGTGTTACACCGTGTATGGCTGAGCTGAAGGGGTGGGAACACATAAGGCTACAACCATACAATCCATGTCTATAAGACGTACAGAGTATCCAATAGAGTGCTAGGTTGTGATTCTTTACTACATATATTGACCTAAATCGCACTGAATCACACTATTTATCATTTTCCATACATTTTTCCAAAAAATAATACTGTAAATAATAAAATTAATGGGAGGTCATCATTATCGTCATCATTGTCACCATTATTATCATCAGAGCCATGTAGTTACCCCATTAGAACTAGAGCTCATCAAGGGAGTTTATAGAGTGGTTTATATAAACCCATAAAACACAGTTCCGGCTTAATTAGTACTATTACACTCTAATTCTTTTGTTTTCTATTGTAGGAGAATTGATTTAACTTAATACACCGTATGGTTTGTGATGTTTAGAAACTGACGTTTCGGACGTTAGTCCTTTGTCCGAAGGGCTAATGTCCGAAACGTCAGTTTCTAAACATCACAAACCATACGGTGTATTAAGTTAAATCAATTCTCCTACTGTTCGATTCCAAACACTGACGCGGTTAACTAGTTTATCTAGTCTCTACCATACTCTTTGTTTTCTATTGTGTTCATCCGACTATTACCCACTCTACTAGTTATAATTAGTTATTACGTAAATTAAAGAATTAATGGGGAGTGAGTGAAAGAATAAGACATACAAATTACTGTAGACTAATAAGAAATAATAAATAATTAGACAAACAATAAGAAAATGAGACAGTAAAGACTAGTATTCTTTATGAAGACAAGACAGTGTCTTTATACAGAGTATCTAATAGAGTGAGGTTAGAATTGTTACTATTGACCTAACATCGCACCAACACTAATATCTTTCTTATTATTTATTATATCATCATTACCATCTGTCATTTTCCTCATAATTCATTTCCAAAAATGTTCACACCTCTTCATTTCTCCCGTATTTTATCAGATGCACTGTTTATATGATTGAAGATCATTTAATTACAGCACAACACACAAAAGTATGGCCAAGGGTTACGAATAAATTTGCATACTTTTAGGCACTGGCTTTCATATGTTAAACTCAGACGTTATGATGGAAGCTGGCGAATGCTACCAAATGGTGTGTGTAAAAGCTCATTTGACAGTGAAAGCTAGTGCATAGAAGTATGCAAATACATTAATGAGGTCATACTTTTTGCACGTGCACTGTAATGAAGGGGACATTATCAGGTATAAAGGTCTATGTGACATGTATGGCTGTTCTTATGGACGTTGCGCTGTAATGAAGGGGACATTATCAGGTATAAAGGTCTATGTATGTGACATGTATGGCTGTTCTTATGGACCAAAGGCTTATGAATTATTCATTAATTTAGGTGATTACCGAAATCATGGTTTACTCTCTCTTGCAGCCCTAATTCTACTGAAGATAATCACTGCACCTACTGACTGTACATGTACCTCGACTTCGGCACTTCTCCAGAGAGGTTGTTCTGGTGGACAAGCGTTCTTTGCATCATTAAAACTACTCGACAACTGCTAGGAATGAATCAACAGCAAAACCACACATGAATATACAGTTGTGAATATTCATCTACTCAGGTTATAGAAATAAGGAGAGAAAGAAGTGTATGGAGCAGAAGTACAGTAAAGCACAGTTTTCAACCAATCAGCATGTACATACTGTACTATCGTAACTACAAAATAAAGAATATTATATAGAATACTTCAGCTTTCGACTTCACTGGTGTGTGCAATAGAACTGCAGTAGATATCGATATCAATAAATCCATATCAATATTAAATCAAAAGTCAGTGCATGAAGTTGAGGCAATCTCGTTCCACAAGTCTGTGTTTGATTTGGTCAGCGCTACGAGCTGGTGACCAAAGCGAACACAAATGCTTTGAGCCTTTGAGCACAAATGTTTTGAGCCTTTGAGCCTACAAAACAGAGTGCTTTTGGTGGGTAAAATGTAGATCATAATGATAGTCATTAATAGTCAAAATTTATTCATCAGAATTGCTTTTATCCTTTCATTTCATTTTTGTGTTTTTGGTTAGAAAATCACCAGCAAAGGTGCTGAAATTGCTGGCTAAAGCATGAGGCAGTTGGCCAGTGAATCAATGAATTGTTTTTAAGATCTTATTGCTGGTTAATAAGGTACTCCACCAATTGGGACCAAGTTACTTAATTATTGATCTTATCTCTGTGAAGCCCTTGTCATCTTATAATCTTAGTAGATTAAAATATGACAATGGCATTCTTGTTAGTTATCCTCCTTTTTATTCTAAGAAAACTTTGGGTGATTGTGCTTTTGCACCTAAATTATGGAACAATCTCCCTCTTGAAATTAGGAGTTCCAATTCTATTTCATTTTTTAATTTTTCTTAATTGTATGATATATGCTTACTTTTGACTCTTAACTTACATATGGGTATTAATTTATTATATAACTATTCAAGTAAATTAGAGTAAAAATAACGCAGGAGAAAGCCTGGAGGGAGTACCAATATCCTGTGAGTAATCTCAGTTGGATACATGTAATTAAATAACTTATTAGACATGGTCAAAAATGAGTAGAACAGCAGCAGAGTCAAAAAAATGTCCACCCAAATCCTACCCTAAAATGTCTAATAATATGATAATATAATATTATGATTTAGYTTATTTTTGTGTGTTGAGTATTTGAGTATGTACGTAGAATTTGCACGATATAAAATAAATGGGTATTATTATCATTATATTATCGATTGGAATACCAGTTGTTTTGATACATGCTGGTTTTGATATACACAGTATATTAGGTCATACATGACGCATACTAAAACTAATACAGACAGACAGTTTTAAGTGCCCAGACGATTTATGTCAATGTGAAAGATTAATAAGTAGGTTTATTATAAGTTGAAGTGGCATGTAATATAAAGTATTTACATAACAACTGACACACAACAATGGAAGAGTTATTTAAGCTATCAAGGTTTTTGTGAACCTTAAGATTCACTACTCATTTTATTGCACAACTGTCAATACTATTTACCCAATATCCATATCACATTCTTCTGTATTTATACCCAAAATGTGTATGTACTCAAATTTTAGGCTCCCACTTAAGAGATATGCTTCACTTGTCAAACGCAAAGGTTTCAGTATGACGCTACAAGCTAAACTAAATATATTATTCTTTTCTCTTGTTACGAATCAATAAGTACTGAAACCTTTATGTGTTGCATTGAAACCTTTATGTGTAACATCAGAATTGCAAAATCATTGTCAGGATTTTTAAAAAAACTTATGACACAGAAGCAGACTGAAATAAAACATGGGGAGTATTTTATTATAGATCTAGTGACAGTTTACTTTAATTTAATGGTTTTACACAGCAAAAAGAAAAAGAAAAGATATGGGGAGAACCTGAAACAGGAAATAGCCTCCCTTATAGAGCAGGTTACCCAGTACATAGAGGGAAAATTTTTTTTGAGATATGTGGAATGTTCATAAATCGTTGCACTAAAAGAATTAAGCATGGAGGCTTTTAACACGTTTCATATTGAATATAGTCATTCTGATTCACTAGAAGAAGTTTCTGATTTCAAAATATTATTCATGGCCCTTAGAAAACTTCTTCGACACTGCTCGCTAACCAGCAAAAGGTCAGTTCTGTACACCGAGACATATTATCTAATCAGAAAAAATATGTATTCAACTGCTTCAGTGACTTCCAATATTCTATACTGGTCCAGTTGCAAATTAGGTTTGAGACGGTCAACAAAAGCATTTTTTAGTTGACTGTGTATAACATAAGGCTAAACCAAAAATAAGTGTGTTTCCTGTTGCGCGACTGACCCTAATTTTCTTGCTGATTTTTGCTAACCCTAATATTTTTTTCATTCCCAAATGCACCACAGGGTTCCTAGTAAGATTATTTTCACTGTTGTGTCAGTGAAAAAAATCCGACCTAGCGACCCCAACTATTTTTCTYATGCAACAGGAAACACACTTATTTTTTTGTTTGGCCTAACTACCAAAAATATAAAAAGCCAATCCAACTACAATAGCACTAAGAGCATGTAAAATCCATCTGTAGCATAACTAGGCATAGTCTCCCTCGCATCTGTTTTTAGTGTCGGTCATCACGCAACACTCCCTCCCCACAAACAGCTGCTTGCATTCGAACTACATTCCTTTCTCATTGTTTGGATCGTACCAATGAGGTCGAGCGTATTGTTTCCTTTTGAGCCAATCACAGTGTCCGAAAGTATAAACATGGTGAGTTTTAATCGAGCTGCCGAAGAACATCCTTGAAAGGAATTGGTGCGGAATATTCGCCGTTTTGAAGTTCACACCGTTGTTCCTCTTCTAGTGAGCTTATCTTCACAGCACTAACTCCTAAACTACRTAACTTTGAGACTTGGTCATCCATTAGACGTATTAATGACCTTTAGAAACGAGTACGAGTACGAGTACGAGTAACGCTAAATTGTAGTCGATTTCCGATTTTTTACAATCTAAAGTTTCAATCTATTTTATACACGATCAAGACTACAAAGAGATAGTGCCAGTCGTCAGATCTAAAGATCTCAATTAAGGAGACACAACAACCACGATGTGACCAGACTCTAGTGTATATTTGTAGTCAAATACGAGAGGCAGAGCTTGGTAAATTAGAGATTTGACAAACCCTGTTGGAAGATTGACAAGAATATCTTTTTTCTCTTGGACTAAAGTTTTGATAGCCGACTTCTGATGCGCATTTAGATCAGGAATACGGAACTTTGAAGACACAAGGCCAAACATGTATACTTCTTCTATGAACGAGTTGAGAATGCAAAATAAAAGCTACAAGGTGATTGGTSAGATCAAAAGTCCGCGAACGGTTCTCTAAATATGTAACCCGTCTTGTGATTGGCCAAACAATGAGAAAGGAATGTAATTCGAATGCAAGCAGCCGTTTGTGGGGAGGGAGCGTTGCGTGACGACCGACACTAAAAACGGATGCGAGGGAGACTAAACTGGGCAGGACAAGATGCCATTTTAAACCGGTGTGTCTCGCATGCCTACCACTGGCTTMTGATACAGGTTTTTCAATATGTTACATACCCCCTCTCCCCAATTAAATATTAATAAATATATATTATATATTCACCGATAATCACTTAGCCTTTGGCGAATAATTGTTAAATGTTTACTGAGCCAAGAGTCTTCAAGTGGAGGAATAATTATATGTTCACTGATAATCACTGAGCCTTAGACGAACAATAATATTATTGCTCTAGTATCATTATAAAAGTGATCATTTGAAACAAATTAGACCACATTGGTTTATTTATGAAATTTATACTTATTTTGTATTCCAAAAGCAGCATGCATCAACATTATCGAGAAATAGGTAGTCAAAGTTTCTTTACCAATCATAATAATAATCATTGATAATCACTTTTAAATGCAACGTTTGACCAACTTTTGATGTCATATTAATTGTGGTAAATAACACGCTAAACCATCGGAAATATTTCTTAAATTTATTTAAATGATACAATTTCATTATAAGACGGGTATATCACATATGTGATAGAAGGATTAATTAATATACTACCCAATTTCAACAAAAGAACTAAGATATTGGTTATAAACGTGTGGATTAATTGCGTTTCTTAAAATAAACAAAAATGTATAGTTGGAACGTGTTGGTCAATGTTACTGGTATAAATACTGCATAAATATTATAAGCAGTTAAGAAATAATAATTTGGGGTTTATAGGGTTATCAACTAAAGCACGTAGTAAATGGAAAAAAAAACACGGTATCTTTTGCGAAGTCCAAAGTACAAAGAGATATGAAAGCAAATAGTGAAAGAGGTCATGATTACAATTGACATTAGACACGAAACCCCAGCCCTGTTCCTATTTTAGATCTGGAGCTAATATATATTTTGTCAAATGCTACAGACTTACCTCTCTGACTTGCGGAGACAGTGAAGCATCCATGGCTTCGGGTCTTTCCGACGACATGGCGTTTCTTTTGAATTTAAGCGCCTTGAAAGAATAAAGAACGGTTGTGTTTTGTGAATTGGGATTTTGAATATTTTTGTGCAACAACACACCTTACGTGTCAAAGCTGATACAAAGTATATAGAAGGTCAAAATAAGTCAATGTATGACAGATACAAAGTCTAGGGAGGCTCTTTTAGATCCAAAGCGTTTGCATCACCCTCTTACAGCATAAAAAGCCAGGTATTTTCAGCCAAATGTTTCGTGACATGTCGTTCGTTCAGCTCAGTTCTCTACGGATCGTTCTTACCTTTCTCAGCACAAGCATATAAAATCCACTTCACTTCGAATGAAAATTCCAAAGCTGAAACATCTTTTCACGCCAAAACCTGCAAAGACAGCTTTAAAGTACTTCCTACTACGAGACTGGATCCTCTATAAGACGTTTATTAAAGATGGAACGCCGTAAAACGCAGAAAAATATAGCAGATTTGACTAAAGATTTAAATTATACAAAACCAGCTTTCGTGTTCAAGAATTGAGCCTGCAATGCTAATGAATGCGTCGTGTATCCAACTGAGTATGCGCAGAGTTTACTCGCTCGTTCTTGGTACCAGGTCCAGCAAAGTGCGCTTGGTACCAAAATGCCCAAGGGGACTAGGGACCGTTCTGGTGGATCATCCCCTAAATTGAGATCATGCAGCTCTGGTATTATCTTTTCGACCCTGTGGTTAACAAAAAGGAAATAAATTGAGGAAACCCAATCCATAAATTTTAGAATATTTACAAATTGGAGGAGAAAGGGGGGGTCAGTTGAAGCCTATTTTTTTATTCCATGGATCCCCAATTTCGGAGTTTGCATATTTCGCAAAATAATTTTTGTAGAAATTTATAAAATTTATCAGACAGTTTACTGTTGTTTGAGGCTAATCATGAACACTCAAGCCAAAGACTATTATAGTTACATATGCGTGATAGTTTACTCTATATAGCCTACTGATTTTTTTATTTTGGACATTTATCTTATACATGAACCACATATTGCATATAAAACATAACACATTTCATGATCTTTTATATATTAAGCAGTTCCACCCTGTGGGGTTTTGCAACTGGCACCTAAATTTATTGTTCATCAATGATACATTTTGTAACTTGCTATTCTTCAAATGTGGATTAAAAAAAAAAAGCTATGAAATGACTCTCAGGCCTCATGAAGCCATCTTCCTTTTTTCATAAGGTATACATGTAGTAAATGAAATTTAATCAAGCAAAACTAATTCATAAATGAACCTTGCCTCATAGATGGTTCTTTTTTTTGGTTAATAAATTAAGGAGATATTCAACAAGATAATATTGTGCTATACTACCCCTGGGGGGGGGGGGGGGGGG